GCTGCTGTGTTTCCTACGTCACTGCTGACTCTATTGAACCAGTGTCCACGGCTGTCATAGCGGACACTGACTGCCCCATATGGGATCATCAACAGGAGTGCAGGTTTAAACATATAACACACTTTAACTTAAATCTTCAAAATTATGTAGAATCAAAAAAAAAAGTATGCATGTATGATGTTTTCATTTCAAATTCCCAGGCTTTCAAATCAGCTACTGGTTGATCCACAACAATCTCTTGTATTCAAAGTCTGGCACAAAGGAGGTACGGGAGCCACTTTCTACTTATTATTTTTGTAACAATGGTCTGCTCTGTTTGATACTTTATTTCATTCTGTTTTGCTTCTGTAGAAATTGAGAGGGTGCTGGGATTTGCGTCCGTAGACCTGTCCCCTTTACTCTGTGGCTTCTACTCAGTGTGTGGCTGGTACAACATCACAGACTTCAGTGGTCAATGTCGCGGCCAACTCAAAGTGTCTGTCACTCCGCTGAAGGGGGTCCAAGAACTCAGAGAACAGAGGAAATCTGTGAATGAAGAAGTTGCCAAAAACTCAACTGTGAGAGAATTTATTCAGATATACAGAATACCTTTCAGAATAAAATAATCACATACAATGTTTCATCATTGAAGATTAAAAAAGATGAATGTGTTTAACAGACTTTATTCCAGGGCCTTCCTCTCAGCTATCATACCACAGCCACATATAGCAGCTTCCCCTCTCACATCAGCCGCTACCCTGAGCAGACGATATCGTCACCTGACCACACTGACAGGCTCTTTCCTAAAAGGTTTGTGGAGTACATGTTTTAGTATATATTTATATATATATGTGTGTGTGTATAAATATATAATGTGTATTTTTTTGTGTAACCCAGCTCCAATGAGAGAGACTCTCACCTGGAGCACATGGACAAGGTACGTCTTTACCATCAGCATCTGCAGGAACAATCAGCAGCTCACTCGGCCTGTAGCAGCAGTGCAGTTGACATCAGTCCCTCCAGCTCGTCCCTGTTCTCAGCACTCAGGTATCAGTACTCAGACACACCAACAGCTTTAGTTTGTAAATTATTTGCATTTTATTCATCTTATCTTTGACTGACTGTTTTAACAGGAAAAAACTAAGTGAGCTTGACAACATCCAGAGATATTTCAGTCGTAAGCTTTCCGCTCCCACGTTCCCGTCGGTGACTGAGCACGACCGTCACAACAGACATGAGGAACAGAGGGCGTCGGAGACGGACACAAATCAGCTTCTTCTGAAGTCCAACCTGTTGGTCGGAGAAGTCAACAACATCATGAGTGGTGAGCAGCTCGTTAATTGATCACCTTACCATTTCAAGATCCTTCTTGGCAGGTTAACTGTGCTCTAGGTTTTTCAAACCTCAGTAGTTGACCCAGGGTTCACAGAGGACAGTTTAACTGTGCAGCGAGCTCACTGCTTCCATACAAGGAGGCACGACAGACTGAACTCACTCTGAACGACCAGCGGTGCTGAAATGTCAGCTAATGGAATAAAGTCAGCGCTGCATCGCTGTCTCACTGAAAGTGCAGCTGCTATTTATATCACATTATGATTTAGTACTTGCAGGGCTGTGACTAACTTTTACTTTCATGATAGAATATTTTGCTGATCATTTTCTGGATTAAGCAAATTATTGTTTTTTTCTAGCTGCAAAGATAAACCAATTAGTGTTCTAGTCAGTTGATAGAAAATTATTCAGCTATTCCATTGGTTATGAAATAATGGTTTTAGTTATTAAGAAAAGTAAAATCAAGTCAAGATTGATGATTAAATGATTGATAAATGGCAAAGAAAAACAAGTCAAACAAAAAAAATACTGATCCTCACAAGAGCATTTTAGCTAAAATCTTCACTATCTTCTACATGTAGCCCTACGAGGACATGACCTGGAAGCAATTCCCTCCAACTCTCAGAGCAACTCAACAACTTCCCCTGGTCAAGACAACAACCCTCAAACTATTCCTGAGAGTATCTCCAGTCTACGCAGTGCTTCAAATTCTTCCCAACAAGATGTGTCTCTCCCTCTTCCAAAGATGTCTGACGACCATCCAGACTCTGGGCCTGAGGAATTACAGGACGGCCACAAAGTGACTATGTCTGAGGATGAATACGAAGAAAGATCAGATGAAGATGGAACAGCCTGTGCAAGGGACGAGGGAGTTGATGATGACGAAGAGGAAGATGAAGACTATGAGGAGGTTGTGGTGAAGCCGAGGCATCTCAATGAGGTGACCTCTTTAACAGACAAAACCAGTCCTTGGACCAGCATCCACTCAGACCCTGACATGGTGTCACTGGAGAGTCTGGAGACACCAGAGGAGCCCGACCGGAGCCAGGACGAGGACGACATGGAGTCGGTGGTAAATCTGGAAACGTGCGACTCCGAGGGAAAACATCAAAGTACAACACGAGAGGAAAATGAGAGTTGTAATGGATCAGGAGACGATTCAGACACAGACGATGAAAGGACATTCCAAGCTTTAAGTGAGAGACAAGCAAAAGAGCCCCAAAGCCCCAACCAAGAGTCAGACGACGAAGATTCATCACCCACGTTACAGCACACCACAGGCACCCCTGATGCTTCTCTAGACGACCAAGATTCACAGCTACAAACGTATCCTTGATCAGTGTTTGCCGATGTGTCCGTCTGTCAAACTAGTTAAGCTGTTGTTTGTTTTAAAAGTCTGATCAAAGATTCATGAAACCATCGTGTTTTCTGTGTATGTTTTTTTAACGTTTTACCTGAAGCTCGGCTCCAGTGGCCGTCCCAAATTTTTTCCTCCCCTCTCACCAACTGGAAGCCTCTATGAGAGCCATTCATCTCGCTCCGACCTTCTCCCACCCGTCCAGTGACCCAGTAAGTAACTCAGAGACTTTCTCTCCGTCCATTTTTCTTTTCACTCCTCTATTACTTGCTTTCTTTGATTCTCGTTAAAAATATAAAGCTGTTACAAGCAGAATTCAGCTGAGGTGTGTGTGTGTCTGTGAGTGTCTGTGTCTGTGTGTCCATTATGTAATCTGTGGATTACGAGCATTAGTTATTAGGCTTGTTTTTTTGTAATCGTCATCTAGCTGGCTGGAACAAATAATTCATTATGGAATAATACAGACAATACGAATACATCATTATTGATTCATTATGTCAGTGCCTGTCATTACGAGCTCATGAGCTTCTTGACGACTGGAATGGATCTTGTGTCATGGAGCGTGTAGAGGGAGGAGACATACAGAACGTGTTATTGTCACAGTTTGTGGCAGGTGTGACCTTTTAAAGTGGCAATTGATGTGAAGTCTGAACACTGTGTACTCTACCTGACAAGCCTGTTTGACAGAGTGCTCTTAAGTACAACTGTTCCTAAAAAGTCTTGCATGTGGAAGTTTGAGTGGTAACTTGTGCATTAATGTGTAATCCCCTTGAAAACTCAGTGTTGCTTATTTAGATTGCGTCTCGTAATTGTTTTATCTTCCGCATGTTCAGTACAATATGAAATAGTGTTGTGCATTCTAGGGGCAGATCTCTTCAGTCCAGAGTTTTCCTCATCGCAGAGGTCGTCCACAGCGCCCAGACATGTCGCCATCGTCCATGAAGAAAGAGACTGAAAGAATAGCAAAAATATTTGCAGCTCACTTTGATGAGAGTCATTAGTGTGTATTTTGTAGGATCGTCACATTCTTTCATCGTCACTGGTTTCAGGCTGTGAAAAGATCATGTTAATTTAATGTAACATTTTGTATTTTTTATAAATAAATATTCTCTGTTTTGAACACTTGAAGCCTTATTTGTGTGTTGTTATTTCCCCAGTATATAATTGTGTGTGATATTAGTGATCAGTCCATCCATTTATCTAATCATTTCATTTTCTTCTACAAAATAATATACAATTTTAATAATCCCAAAGTTTTGGGAATGTTTTGGGAAAAACATATTTCATTTCTTTGGCTAGTACTTTTTTTTTTTAATCTTCTGTTCTTTATCACAGAGGGAAAGCACCCAATGATCTGCTCTCGAGGATTTGTGGGTGTCAGAGGGATGTCTGCTGTCTTTTTGTTTTGTGTGTGTTTCTTGGAACAGGCCTCATGTTGAGATTTGTCCTGACTGTCTGACCCTCTGCTTTTATTAACTTACGTTTGATAGCAGTAAAAACTTCAGAACAGGGATGGCATTTATTTTGTTTGCCTTCAACTGACTGAAGACATTTTAGTTTAAACTCAAGATAAGAATATTCAGAAGTTCATACTTCATTCCCTGGTATTGACATTTAGAAATGTTCAACAACTTAGGAAAGAACCTTTTGTATCAGCCTGTCACCATTTTTAGGTAAAGAAACACAGTGTTAAACTGAGTAACATTTAATGATCCATTATATAACATTTACTTGCAATTAATCAATCCTGTGACATCAGTGTTTTCCCCAGTCTTTTACTGCACCCTCTTTCAGTTCCTGTTTGTTTTGTGGCATTTCTCCCTCAAGTTTCTGCTTCAGGAAAAGAAATGCTGCTCTGCCAGGTTAAAGTCCTGTGATCTCCTTGACCAGCCTGAAACTCTGGAAGGTCTCTTTAGTTTTGGATGATTGCTTTGCTGCCTGAGGTTAGTCCATTGTTTGTGTGTTTGTTTTGGATCAAGCCCAGATCTTTTCCAACTGTGCAGCAGAACTAACTCTTATTCTCTTGAGACCAGAAAATCTCGAACCTGCTTCTCATCTCTGTATTGGTTTTTTAATTCCAGTTTGGTCTGATTCTTACAGCACATGATCTGATGAGACACTAATAACTTCAGCCCTGCCCTGTGGGGGTGGGAGGGGATGTAAGTGACAGTACATTTTGACTTTATTCTCAACATTTCAACTTTTTTTAAACTGTTGTTGACATTTCAACTTTATTTTTGAAGTTGCAAAAAAAAAAAAGAATCCTCCACATCTTTTTTTCTACTACTTTCTCCTACTACATTCTTTCTGGTGGTGTAGGAGCCTCTTGACATTCCTCATAGAGCTGCAGCAGAGCCTGTCATGTGTCTGCTCACGTTGGGTGCTGCAGCAGAGTCTGGTGTGTCTTTACACTCAGTCTGCTGTTTCAGACGCTGAGCGGTAACTCGAGGAGGCAGACGACTTTCTGCTTTATTCTTAATTTAATATTTTGTAGTGGTTTGATAGATTCGAGTTTTTTTTATGGCTCACCTGCGCTCCTGCTTTAACAACACACAAACTTTTCTTACCCGGGACTTGCCTCTGGCTGAAGCAGCTGGCTCACCTGCATCTGATCCCCGGACTGAAGTCGATGTTCTGGGACACGATGCAGAGGACACTGGTTTTAAGCTGCTTTATCTGCTGCCGATTGATTGATTGATTGATTGATTGGGCTCGGTGTTGAGGTGAATTCAATTTAGTTGATCGTCTGAGCTGAGTCACTGATCATGGTCGGGAGAGGGACTGTCGATCTGGCCCCTTCAGCCGGTGTCAAGATCTTTTCAGCTGGAACGGCTGGTTGTGTGGCCGACCTGGTCACTTTCCCCCTGGACACAGCCAAAGTCAGACTGCAGGTGAGGTCCAACCGCCCCCAGTGGTATTTCAGATTACATAACACTCGTGTATATGTTTGGACTTCTCTGAATCAACTGTCAGACCATTTCTGTTTCTAAAAGTCTCTCTGCGTATAATCTGTATGTTGTCAAAGCACTTTTCACAATCCCAAAGTGTAATAATCTCCTTAATAACCCATGGAAACTCAGCGTAATGTCATAATGTAATTCCTGTTATTGTTATAATAGAACATTGTCATGTTGCTAAACACACAGAGAGATGAGATGCTCCATGTGGCATTTGCAGCCCTGCTCCAAGAGTATCCCACCACTTGCAGCCAAATTACCATAGACTGTACATCATCAATGATGCAACACTTAAACTTAAACTTTGTATGGTTGTATATGAATTGATGTGATTACAGCAGCTGTAATTGTTAAAGCAGACATCTGCTAAGCTAATTTCACTTCAACCCGAGTTGAGGAACATAAGTCTTAAATAGATTTTATTGTTCACTCCAGATCCAAGGTGAATCCAAGTCCTCAGTGGTCCAGAGGGCGAGATACAGGGGTGTGTTCGGCACCATCTTCACCATGGTGAAAACCGAGGGTGCGAGGAGTCTGTACAGTGGACTGGTGGCCGGGCTGCAGAGGCAGATGAGCTTCGCCTCGGTCCGGATCGGCCTCTACGACACCATCAAGCAGGTCTACAGCAGAGGATCAGAGAGTAAGTCACCAAACAGTCCAGCTGTGCAGCCACAGAAGTCTGTTTCCATTCAAATCTATATCCCAGTTTAGTTTTCAACAACAGATGGAAACTTTCTAATACGACATTGTGCAAATTATTAAACACTTTTCAGTGACTGTTAAATTTCAACATTACTGCAACCAATGATAAGTCTCATTATTAATGAATCAGGAGGCTATTTGCCAAATACATTGAGTTTTCTACAGTTTAAGACACTTTTAAGAAACAGACACCATCACGTTTGAGATTTTTGCTTGAAAAAATTACTTCTGCAAAAATAATAACCACTTATAGATAAAGCTGCAGATGAATCTTCTGTTGTTTGATGATTCAATTTAATAATGATTGCTGCTTGAATGATTTCTTATTCAAACCTGTGGTTCTGACCCAAGTCAGACTGGGTTATTACAATATATATTATAAGAAAACAATAAAATAGGGATACAATTAAATAAGTTCCAAAACAGAAATAAGCCTTTGGTTGCTTCGACAACAACTTCTTTTGGATCAGTTTACACTCAGGCTGTAGAAACACTGTCCCCAAATGTGAGAAAATATCACCTACAGTGGAGTAAATGAAAAAATAAAAAGTAACTAGCTGTAGTAAGAGCTGCATCTGCTAAGAACTGGTTTTGCAGCAACCTGCCACAGGATGTAGGTCAGAGGGCAGATTCCTTTCCCAGAGGACACGTGTGTGTCTATCCTGGAGGCCCTACCTTACAGGGAGGATGGCAGGGAGAAACATAGAGTAAATAAATACAGAGTAAATATAAAAGAAGATAGAACCATATGGACTATGTGCTGAGTATAATGATAGTGATAAACTCAGCATTAAATATACAGCACTGTATATCAGTATTTCACGAAGTGCATATGAATAAATAAATAAAACCCTGCAGTCTGTTAACTTGTGCAGTCTAATGCATGTTCCTTGTTGCAACAGACGTAGGAATCGGGACTCGGCTGCTCGCTGGCTGCACCACGGGGGCGATGGCGGTGGCGATCGCTCAGCCCACTGATGTGGTCAAAGTGAGGTTCCAGGCTCAGGTGCGCCTACCGGAGAGCGGCTCCGTGAAGAGATACACCAGCACCATCGAAGCCTACAAGACCATAGCCAGGGATGAAGGGGTTAAAGGGCTCTGGAAAGGTGCATTCAAATGTGGATATAATGTAACTGTACTGTCGGTGTTGTTGTTCTGAAGTTAGTTTGTTAGCACTGACTTACTGGATTTTATTTATATTTATTATATTTTCTCTGTGGTTTTAAGAAGGTATATCAAAAAAATACAAGGAGTCAATGGATCACTCTATTATCTTTCACGGCCACAACCTTTGTACGTAGACATGACTGCCTGAAAGTCACAGAGCTGAGCAAAGACACAAAACTTGCACTACACACATTCATCTCGTGAAATACCTGAATTTGTGTGGATTGCATCGTGGGTAATCTAGGCTAGGTTTGACAAGGTTTAGAAAAGGAAAAAAAATATTTGAATCGGACTATTTCAAAGTTCTTCAGGTTGAATATTAATCTTAAAACCTTTTTATTTTCTTTAGGTGTTTTCCCAAATATTACTCGTAATGCCATCGTGAACTGCTCCGAGCTGGTGACGTACGACATCATCAAAGAGCTCATCCTGCAGTACAAATTGATGACAGGTGAGTTCATTCACTCTACGAGTACAAACCTCAACATTACAGATGTTTCATTTCACCTTATTGCTGCTACACATAAAAAGGGATTAAGAAAAACACAAGGCAATATAATAAATCGTAAGAGTAAAACAATATAGAAGATAAAAATCAGCTAAGATATAATAAAACTGTATAAAATACAGATTACAGTGAGGTTACAATGCAGATACTTATTTGTTCTTTGTGTCCCTGATTCAGTCAAGTGTTTGATTTTCCACAGACAACATGCCGTGTCACTTCACCGCAGCCTTCGCAGCAGGGTTCTGCACCACCATCGTAGCGTCCCCGGTGGACGTGGTCAAAACGCGCTTCATGAACTCGGTCCCCGGGCAGTACAGCGGTGCCACCAACTGTGCTGTAACCATGCTGATGAAAGAGGGCCCCACAGCTTTCTATAAGGGGTATGTTACTGCTGCAGCATTGTTGCAAAGTCATATGTTAAACGAAGCATAAAAAAATATCATTTTTTTTCTAAATTCTTCAGATTTATGCCCTCGTTTCTTCGTCTGGGTTCCTGGAACATTGTGATGTTTGTGAGCTACGAGCAGATCAAGAGGGCGGTGGTAAGATTTCAGCAGACCTGGTAGTCTTCACTGTGTCCTGTGTGACAGCTGCTGTGGCACTGGGCCGATGAAGCAGGACATTCCTAAAGAGAGACAGTGTGGTTATATCTGCTGCTGGTCTGGACCTGTTCCTCCTCAGGGATGAAACTGTACATCTGCACTGACTGTACTGAACATGAGAGGCCCTATAGGCGACTCTATGGGCCCTATAGACGAACTGCAGGGATGTTTCATGTTGATGAGGTTGTTCATAACATGCGCACATTGTTAAACATGTTTTCTAATGCAGTTTTTGGCCTTTTCACGGAGGACATTGTAACATGTTGCAGTAATTGATGAAATTCATTTCCATTTAGCTGCTTCAGTTTCACGGTCAGGTATTAATCAATTTTGAGCGATAGAGTTCAGTCTGAGCAGGGTCCCTGTTTCCAATCACTGTTCTAGTCCCTGCAAAAGGAGTTGGATTCGTCTGTTTTCATGAGCAGCTTCAACATCTGATTTCCCACAAGTTGTAGATACAGTATGTCAGTGGAGGCGTTACAACAGAGTAGGCAGGTAGTTGCCTTAGGGCCCAGAGAGCAGCAGTTTTTTTCAGGAGACTGCAATGAAACCATTGTCAGAAACCTTTAATCAGGCCCCATGCCAGTAGCTTTCCGTTCTTTCTTTCTTCTTGATAAGAGTATGGTACAATTTTAAAATGTGATTGAAATCCCAGGCTCTGACGACGCAGGACGGCAGGGACTGGGACTCTTGAATAGAGCAGATCCATGCTGTTAATGACTGTGCCTGTACTACGACAGGTCAAAATGTCAGCTGTGAAAAGGCCAATTCACGGAGTAAATCTGGTGTGGTTGAGGATTAAAGGTTTCCTCCTGTCAGTCGACTTCTTTTCTAGGTTGTCTTGGTTGGGGTTTCGTATCTAATGGCTGGTTTCAGGGAAAATGTTCCTGTATAATGTGACAAAACACTGTCTTTAATACGCACATTTAGCCATTAGGTTCACTGCTGTGGTTAGTTTTTACATTAATAACGTTTAGTCTTTAAAAATTATAAATACTTTAAAATTGGTCATGACAATTAAAAAACTAAATTTGTTGTCTTTGTCTCATGCCCAACTACCCCAAAATATTGCATTTATTGTCACATAAGACAAATAAAAGCAGCAAATTCTCACAAATGAAAACATGGAACCGGGAAATATTTATCATTTGCATGAAAAAATGATCATTAAAATAGTTGTGTTGTATTGATCCCCTTCTATTAGCAATGAGCCAAAGCCAAAAGTAAATATTATAGGTTTTGCTATGTGAATAATAATTTAAATCCAGAAAACATGACAAATGTTTTTTGCAAAACTGTGAATGATTACATGTTATATCAAATACAAACACGCATATTTTTATTTGCACACTATGTGAATCATAGGAATTAAACAGGACACTGGAACCACATCCATGGGATTAATGTCACATATGAAATAAAGTATGAATGCAATGAACCAAAAATATCAAATTATGGTGTTTTATTTTCCTTTTGAAAGAACAGATTAAAAAAAGGGGTCCACATATGGGACCCCATTTTCAGAACATATTCTATAGTCAGAAAATAATTTGAATGTATATTCTTCAATGTAGGTCGGCTTTGTTGGAGCATTTCAACGAGTCATCATAGAGACGCTGAGGTGAATGAGGTGAGAAGCACAAAACGATGAGCTGACAGATGAGAAAATTGCCCAATTTGAGTCTTGTGGGACAAAAGAAGCCGCTGACAAAAGATGTAACTGAAGTCTGTGGTGTAACATGAACACGCTCCACCTTGCTAATCATCTCCTGTCGGGCCGGTGAGGTTCCTCCATGGTTGAATTGGTATGGCGTGCTTTTCCGGGCCATATGGCACTCTGGGTAACCTTCTCCAGAGTCCAGCTGAGTCGACCAGGAGGGAAAATCCAAAGATAGTGAACTAGTGATGGATTTGACAGGATTATTGTCAGAACTAAAATATGTCCAGGTCAATGTTAGGGTGAAGAGGGGTATTGGTCAGATTAAAGAAAAAAGTGGAGATAAAGGTCCTTTGCTAACGTTGGCAGGAGTCTGTGCTCACTAATGACAGGAGATATCAAGTTTCTGTGATCAGTTCAAGTTCATTGATGTGCTCAGTATTTTTCTGCCTCTATGAAACACATATGTTCTCAACAGGCATTAGTCAAGTTGTCTTTTTGTGCTGTTTACCATCATCTATCAGAGCGGTTCTCTCCTTTCAGTGGCAAAGTGATAAATATTTACGAAAATGATCATAATTTGGGATTTTGGTAAATAACTTTTATCGATGAAGCACTTTCTTTAACAAATCAGAAAAGTGAGCAAATTAACATTTCACAATCAAGCATTTAGTTTCAGTCCTGGAAGTTTTTCATCATTCATTTGCTGGCCATCGTTCATTTTACAGGTGCAGTGGAAACACAGGTATTTATGCTTTTTTCTTCAGGATTGTTGGACAGATTAGATTTTTCTATTAGTCTGATTAATATATTGTATTGTAAATGTTCTGTGTATACAAGAAGATATGTGTAAGTCCTAATTATTGTTATTTAGCGAAGACTTCAAGTTTATTTGATATTAAATGTAGGTTCATTAAAACTGATCAGTTTTCACCAAGTGGCCAAATATTTTCATCAGAAGGACAGATTTGGTTTGTATTTTAATAAACTGAACATTTATTCAGAGTGCTGTTAAATGTAGAAAATCACAAATCTCAAGAGGAAAAAGCAAATTTTTTTTTCTCCAGACTTTGTGTTGGATTGGTTTGAAATTAAGATGGATAAAATATTTCTAAGCAAAACATTCATGCTAAGGCTGGATCAATCGTCACTGTGGCGCCTGTTGGTGCATCCTCTGCTTCACCTTCAGTGGCTCAAGACGGGCGGGTATTGTCGGCCGTTTGGGGCCTCGTCTGTGCTCCCCAGGACGAAAAGACTCAGAATCAAAACACATCGGTAAGTGTGGTATGGAGAGAAATCGGGCAGAGATTCCATGGTCCCCAAAGAGCAGGAAAGGAGGGTGGCAGCAGGAGGGTAAGACAACAGCTGTGGTCAGACTGCACACAGGGAGGCAGGGGCTGTGGAACTGCTCAGGAAAGATCACTGAGAAATCCTGAGCTTCAGGGTGAAACTCACTGAGTCTTGTTTTCTCTCCACGTTGAATCGTTTCCTTGAGTTTCTTCAACATGATCAACCTGATGTGATGACGTCCGCGCAAGCTGAGAAAAGCATCCAAGAAATCTGCCAGCTGCATTTTCCTCTCTGCAAACCTTTGGAACAGCAGCTGTCAGGAGAAATATTCATTATTGTCCTTCACCATATTAGACCTCTCATTAGTTTCTGACGTTTTGATCGTCTTGGCTTAAACTTAAGATCTTATTTATCAGCTTATTTTTCCTGTCCCCTGTTACTCAGGTATTGTCCTTAAACCCAAATGCTGCTCCTCTCCAGCCCTTTGAAGGACAGTGGTTTGTTACTGTTTTGACAGAGGGTGTAAAATCATATTCCCTGAAATCATCTGGATGAGGCAGCTTCTTCTGTTTATTGATACAAACTATTCTCAAGGTTCTTGAATACATCCAGCGTTAAAGAAAATTACATTAGAGGCCAATATGCTGACTTTTAAAACAGAAGTGCATCCTTACCTCACTCTCCTCCTCTGCATGATTTATCTTTTTCAGGAGACACAGTTGTGCATAATGAACACTGTATTTCTCTGCTGCAGAAGGAGGAGAAACTATCTTCACAATGGCAGTGCATATTTAAAACAGCCAGGACAAAATCTATCGTAATACATTTAAAAACTCACCGAGTTGTTCTTGTTTGGCCTGAATGATGCTTCTGCGTTTTTCTAGTTCCTTGTATTTCATCGCAAGCAGCAGCTTAGCATCTACAAAGTTTGGTTTTTGAGAAAGACTGAACTTTGCCAATCTTCGATTTGAAACCAACGTCTTCTCCACAGCTTTCTGAAGTCCCTGAAACTGGAAACAAGCACACATTTAAAACTCTTCAAAGTGTTGTACTATAGCCAAATTTGGCAAGATTTAAACACATGTGGGACCCCTGCAATTTCTAAGTATATTTTCACACAATGCATATATATGTGCACACACATTTCCCATATATTTGAAATTATGTCTATTTTGCTACATTTCCCTTTTGGTAAATTGATGGAATAATGAGATTCTCCATGTATAAAGGATAGTACTTCTGCCAGCTAAATTATTTTTATTAAGATCCTCACTTTCTCAGCTGAATTGATTTTTGTCGGACTCTCACCTTCTCACTGCAGCTGATGATGTGATTTATTTTGTCTTCGTCTTCCAGCAGCTCCCGCAGCTCTCTGGTCCTGAAACCTCTGAGCTGAACCTCCGGCAGAGACATGATGAGCCTCCTCTCTGGGAGCTGAGAGTTTGGTACCTGATGCATCAGCTGGGGAGCAAGGTGAGCTGTCAGTGCTGCATTCAGGGACTGTCGGAAAACTCTCCAAACTCTCTTTTTGTGTCCTTTTTTTCCATTTATTGATGTTCATTTTGTGCATGAGATCATCCTCTGTCGCTTTTCAGTCATTTTGTGTCTTTCTGTGGTTGTTTTACTTCTTGATTTTCACATTTTTGTAAGCATTTTTTGTTTTTCCAATGCTGTTCTACATCTTTCAAACTAGAAATATTTACTGGCACTTCTTCAGAGGATGCAGATCAGCCAAAAATTAACAACATCCAAAGGCAGGTGATAAATAAAAGGATAAAACACAACATGTGGCCAGAACAGCTTCAATGCACCTTGGCATTGATTTGCCAGCTCAATTCTTCCAAAAGATATTCCATCATTTGGGGTTTAATGATGGTCAAATCTTCCATAGGTGTTAAACTGGGTCTTTTGTCATCAATCCATTCAGTGATGATGGACAGGGGATATTCTTCTGTTTCTCTGTTTAATTTCAGGTCAAATTAATCATTTCTTCATCTATTTCATTTGTTTATCTTGATTTAATTAACCTGTCTTTTATATTGTGATAAAAAAAAATCATGTATTCTCAGTTGGTTAATAACAACATTTCCCTACTGCAGATATATACTTTTAAGTTTGGGTTTTATTCTTTTGGGCATAATTTCTGAAACATTCAAGCATTGGTAAACAAATTAGTGATGTGTGATATCAACAACCTGTTAAGAGAGACTGTGAGCTGGCGATGTTTTTGCACCCTGTCTCTTGGGAGTGTTTGTCCTGCATGAGACAGGGAGGAGCCTGGTGGAGGGAACACAGCCTCCCTCAGAATAACTCTGCCTGGTCTATATGTGGCCTGAGTTAATCCTTAATACGAGCGCGGCTGAGGTCCTTCCCTGCTCAGCAGTGAAAGTCCTGCACTGAGACGTGAAGGAGTTTCCCCTCCTGAGAGAAGCAGGACGATATGCAGATTAACCCCAGTCGCTCTCGACACAGGATAACTCCACTGTGTGAGTCCAGTCAACTATTTACCTCTTATATTCAACTTGTCTGTATTAGTTTATTTGTATCATATATGTTGAATGGGATTAAGAGGAATTGGAGGCTTTTGCTCCTGTTTATAATTTTTAATAGACCAATTTTAAAGATTTAGTTATTGCAAAGGCATGAATTTATATATATATACATATATATTTACAGAGAGAGTTCACACTGTGTGAGTTTTGTGCTGTGTGTAAGTATTGTGAGTTCGCTTGCCTTACCTGTAAAATCCTTCTTTGTTACATAAGAGGCTCTTCAATTCTCCATCATTACAAAACAGCGAGTAAAGCAGTTCATTGTGAAAATCATACATTTCTATGCGTGTTCAGATCATGAAGTGTTAATAATTCAAAAGAAAAATGGTTTGGAGTTTTGAGACTGGCAAACAACAGTTATTATTATTATGCCTTCATTGTATAAGGAAGGTTAACCGAACCATGGCACGTCAGCTGGGTTGTTAAACCACTATATTTATTTATTCATTACTCTTTCATCATGACATTAAACTACTGCCAAATTATCTATCTGGGATAATAAATTAAATTATATATATGTCCATTTACAAACATGATAATTTAATTGTATTTTGAAAACAAAATAAATCTCACATTCCTGTGTGATGTGTGTGATTTACTTAATTTTCAAAATCCTCAGGCCCAAGTGTTGCTGACTCGAATGACATCACTCAAGGCGTTTAATCAGGCATCATGCAGCTTCCTCTGAAGCTGCAAAAGATCCCTCAACATACCATGCATGTTTATATTGACTCTGTATCATCCAGCTCAGATGGTGATTTTCATTCATGTTTGGCATGAAGATACATCTACAGAGAGCAGAAACATGCTTGAGAGGAATATTGAGCTTACACAATGGTGTAAAAAACGGAAATATAGAAAATAAAAAAATTAGAAGAAAGCATTGATGTGGCTTCTTGCATTAAAAAGTTGATTTATCAGGTGACTGTTAGATTCAGGAGTTTGGATTTTGTCAACCAACAATGAAAATGACTGTAGTCAGGCAGGTGTCAAATCACTGACCACAGCTTTGTGGTTCTTTACTGTGTGTGTGATTTCATGTCTTCATCTCTGCTCCTACACATCTCAGTGCAGTGATGCATCCTCTGGCACTTCTACCAAACCACCTCTGGGACGTTCAGCTGTAAGTGAAGGAGCTCGAACCACCATGAGTGCTGACACTGTCTGCAGGGCAGAGCTGGACTCGGAGCACAATGGTGAGCTGGCCGACCTGGTGGCTGCCATGAACATGGCTGGTAACCGCATGACTCCGCCCAACGGCATCAGGGCCGGTGCTCCGAGGCCCAGCAGCTCTCAAAGACTTCGGCTCTCGGACAGGAAGCTGTCTCTGCAGGAGCGAGGGTCCCGCATTGCCCGGCAGCCCACCATTGAGACCAAACGTGTGTCCATCACAGATGCTGATGTGAGGAGTCCTGACCTTACACAAGCATCATTTACAAAATTACTCATTACACCTAAAATGTGTCACTGATTGAATTCTCCCCTCAAACTCTGCAGGACTGTGTCCAGCTCAACCAGTACAAGCTAAAGAATGAGATTGGAAAGGTGATTAACAAACATGCTATCGATTAGTGATCCAGATGAAACAGATGTGATGACTAACAATTTAAACAAAGTTATTTACACTGGTTGTTTTTACTCTGCAGGGTTCATATGGAGTGGTGAAGTTAGCTTATGATGAAGATTCTGAACAATACTACGTGAGTTGAAGCTCTAAATTGTGCGTTTACGGTCAAAGTTTGAATTTAGGAATTTGTCCAACGACTCTTGTTTTTTCAGGCGATGAAGGTCGTTTCAAAGAAGAAGCTGATGAGGCTGTGTGGATTTCTGCGTGAGCCTATATCTCCTTGTCTTCTAACATTTTAAATTTCTAATATTGAATAAATGTAATTTCTCTGGTGATAATCTGTGTGTGTGTTTTTGATTGTTTGTTGTCAGGCCGCCTGCCTCCTCCGGGATCAAACTCACAGGATCCGTTCCCTAAAGCTGCGTTGCATCTGGAGAAAGTGTACAAAGAGATCGCCATCCTGAAGAAACTGGACCATCATAATGTTGTTAAACTGGTGGAGGTCAGTTACATGACTCTGTGCTCGACAGACATGTTTATCTAACGTGCTGAATTTGAATTATCCCCCTCTATGTTTGTGTAAGAAAAAGGATATGGTGATGGAGTGCAGGTAAAATATGGCATAACTTTAGTTTTATTTTGTGAATACACAAATGGTGCAAAGAAAAGAAGAGGTGATACACTCATGCAAAACAGACGACTACATTTTATAGAACGAGTGTGTAATATTTCTATTTCTCTTAAAAATGGATCCTAAATATTTATATCGGGTCCTCTTCCACACAGTCTGCCATGTAACACTGCCGAGTTTCTTCCGTGGCACAGAATAGGCAAACTAACTCTGGCACCAACATGTTTATACAAGGCCACCGTAGATTCTCCTGCGCTTTTGGATAGGGAGGAGTGTGGGGGGGGGCGGGGGGGGTTACAGTTGGGTGCAATAGGCAGCTTCACCTCTAGATATCACTAAATCCTACACAGGAGTCTGAACAAAAGAGATGTGCAGAGAAACGTGTTGTTGTTTTCTTATTGTGGTATTTATTGGATTATATGTTGTCACCACGCTATGTATGATGTTACTGCTGAAGGTTTACATTGAGACCTGAGAAGAGTTTTACCACAGATATGCATGGCCTTTAAAATCACATGATTATTATTCCTACAGTTCAAATGAACGACAGGATTTGTGTAAAAAAGACAGCACACGAGTCCTCTGAAATAATGTGTTTTGCAGGTGCTTGATGATCCTGATGAAGATGGACTTCATATGGGTAGGGACTCATTTATCCATTTTGCAGTTACTGAACTTAGCTGCTTGTGTATCGATACGATAAATGCAATATCAGCGTAGGAAGACATGAAAATCTGATTATTTTTCCTCAAGCCTTCGAGTTGGTGACTAAAGGGTATGTTGTTTTTTTCGTACATTCACATGTTTTTTTCAAAATCTGACAGAAGAGTTGGTAATTCCACCATGACATACAATAAATATATTGAATTACTTTTCTCCACCTCTCATGCTGACGTCAGCCCGGTGATGGAGGTGCCTACAGACGACCCGTTCACAGAGGAGCAGGCTCGCTTTTACTTCAGAGACATCGTCCTGGGAATAGAGTACTGTAAGTTATAATGATATTAGATATCACATAGCAAAGACAGCTTTATGTCAAGACCCCTATTTCAGTAGTATATACACATGTATTGAATTGTTTACAACCCGCTATAATGTGGCTGTGTATTTATTTACTATATACATAGTGGTTATAAATTCTAAATAGGTGAATGTTAAGTAAAGTGATGCAATACTGATTTTGTATTCTGTAACTACTGTCTTTTTAAATCTGATGATTTTATCTGTTTTAATTTGCTGCATTGTACATTTGAATTCTTTCGAAATTACGATTCATATTGATAATAACGTTCAGGGGATGTTGAAAATAATAATGTTTTTATTGCTTGATTATTTTCTGCAGTGCATTATCACAAGATCATCCACAGAGACATCAAACCCTCCAACCTGCTGCTGGGAGACGACGGTCATATAAAGATCGCAGACTTTGGTGTGAGCAATGAATTTGAGGGGGCGGATGCCCTCCTGTCCAGCACGGCGGGGACCCCGGCCTTCATGGCCCCTGAGATGATGACCGAACACGAGCAGAGCTTCAGTGGAAAGGTGAGACAAACCATCCCCTGCTGGTCGGCTGGCGACCAGACAGTGGTCATCATCAGTGAATTACATGGGGTCTGACTGTGACTCACACTGTGGTCTCACCACCCTCTGAGAGCTTTTCAGAACTGACGTGCGTTTGTTTTACAGGCATTAGACGTGTGGGCGATGGGGGTCACGCTGTACTGTTTTGTCTTTGGGAAGGTAAATTCGTTCACAGCAAAAAATGCACATGGAATAAACATAACATTTTACCATGTAGTTTTAATAATTAAATCATTGATGTTGTTTCAGTGTCCTTTTTATGACGAATACATCGTTTCCCTGCACAACAAAATCAAGAACAAACCTGTGGACTTTCCAGAGACGTAAGTAAAGAGTCGACCTATTGAGTGTTTACAGTTGTTCCTATTTTCTGTCATGCTCATCATTGAAAGTTTAAATGTTTTAAATCCTTTGAGTATCGAACATAATACTGTACATGGCATCAAAGCGGCAGACAGAAACTAGCTGCATTTGCTGATGATGTAAAAGAAACTGTTCAAATCATTTTGCATTGACCAATGGTGTAATCATTTAATAACTAACCCAGTTAGTGTCACAGACAATTTCCAGTTCTCATTTTTCTTATGAATCCTGTGCTTGTTTTGCAGCCACAGCTAAAACATATTTATCTGTAAAACTGCAAAAATAATTGTGCAATATCTCTTGTCCTATGTACACAGACCATCGATTAGTAGTGAACTGAAGGAGCTCATTGAACGGATGCTGGATAAAAACCCTGAAACAAGAATCACCATCCCTGAAATTAAGGTCACATAAGAAAGAGGATTCACCTCATCTGATGATGTAAAACACCATCTGTGCTGCTTTGTCATAATGAAGGTGTTTTGTGAATGTTGCTACAGCTTCATCCGTGGGTGACAGAGGACGGCTCGAATCCTCTCCCCCTGGAGGAAGAGCACTGTACGGCGTTGGAAGTCACTGAGGAGGAGGTGCAGAACAGCGTCAAGCTCATCCCCAAGCTTTCTGCTGTGGTGAGTCCAAAAGCTTCTGCTTGTCTTTCATTAGTCAACACTTTAAAGATCACTCAGTCGTGGGAAATATACACTGTTAATCCCTTCAGCTGATCGGTCATTTAAAAGCATACTGACCATAAACTGTATATAAAGATGGATGACAAAACATCTCATCGCCCCCCTGGTGATTTGATGATTATAAAAACGGGGCGGAACGTCATGATTGACAGCTGAGAGTGACTCGTGATTGGTTGAGCGTGTATTGACAGGACCTAGGGATCATTACTGCACATTCTCTGGCTCCTAATTATGTCATCATTAGAGGACAGCAGCTCCCATTGTCAAGATATTTTGGCTTCATTTTTTGTACAGTGAGAGGAAGTGGAGATGCATAGTCCATCTGTATTTACAGTCTGAGATACTGATTCTTCTTTTTTGTTTATCACATATTGGGTTCAGATTGTTTTGTTTTTTTTTGCATCACAATCATTTACCTCCACAAATCTCTTGCACTTTATTTTATTATAACATAATCTGTATATAGATGTCAAGTTGTGACATCTCAGCATTATTTACAAGATAGGTGATGGGGACATGAATGAGATTGAGATAAAATTAGATAATGAGATTTTAATGGATATCTTCATTTTAAAAACAAGATATTCAAAAGAGTATATTTTGTTGTGGAGTCTTTTCTCTGAGACTGTGTGATGTCCACTGCAGATTGTGGTGAAGTCCATGCTGAGGAAGCGCTCTTTCAGTAATCCCTTTGAGTGTCACGGCAGACGGGCAGAAAGGTCCATGTCTGCCCCTGGAGGTCTTCTTACGTAAGTAGCCTACTCTGCAAATCCTTTCCGCTCCGCTCTGCCAAACTGCCAGCTCTGCGATTAGGCCTCCAACAACACAAAGCAGCGAGCAGATGCTTGAGCAAAAATAGATCCCTCAGTCGAGAAAACTTCACACTTTATAGTATGCCTCTCACATTGAAGATTTTAGATCAATCATATTGACGCCATTAATCTTTGATTAGTGATGTGCTTTGTTTCAGTTTGTTTTGGTCCAGATAAAAGGGTTTGTCCTATTCTTGTTAGCTAATTGGAAACCCCTGCAGCAGCAGCAGTGGTAATAATGGTCGGGCTGCTGGAGTTTTCCATTAACAATCCAGGGGGACAGCAGCTAATTACACATCCATTTAAAGAGATGTGAAACTGCAGCTACATCCACCTCCACACAGTCACACCACCACCAGAGCTACAGCTTATACAGCACTGCAGTCTCCCACACACTGAAATCTGTGGAGACCAGGCCGTCTGTCCATCATGTGATTCTGTTTGGAAATGGTCCGACAGCAGGTGGGACTGAGAATGAAAACTTAGCTGATAATGGTTATATTAAAGTTGTTCTTGAGCACTTTACTTTCCCTATTTGAAAGGAGTAGTTTGCTGCAGCCTGCTTGATTAAGAAGATCAAAATGTTGAAATTTGATCTTCTTGGAGGGATGATGTTTTGTGGCATTTATATAACAATGTCCTCCCCTGAGTAGAATGCTCAAATTAAATAAACATATTGATGCCATTGGTCAAGAAACTAAACTCTTGCATCAATAAACAAGCAAGTTTAA